TTCCACGTCGAACCGCGCATTTGCGGCAAACCCGATCAGGGCCTGCAGGCCGACAACGGTGTCCTGCGTCGAGCCGTAGCCGCCGAAGGCGTTGCGCTGCTCCACCAGCCAGCGTGCGGCGCGACCGGCGTTAATGCCGTCACCACGCTCCAGCAGGGCCAGTGTTGCGTAGCCGATGGTTTCCACGGCGGCCGCGCCGCCCCAGGACAGCGTGTCTCTGTCGGCAACCCCCATGGACATCAGCCGCTCGTGGGCATCTGAGGCTCGAGGGCTGCCGCCCAATGCCAGGGCGTAGGCAGTGATGGCCTTTGTGTAGGCGTCGGTAATCTCTTCCAGTTGCGTCTCCAAATAAGACAGGGCGCGGGCCGACGCATCCCGGTCGCCGGCCTCCAGCAGCGCGACGGCGACGTAGCCGGTGAGCGCGGTGTTGCCCTGCAGTCCGCCCAGCAAGTCCTGGTGATGCAGGAAACCCACTGGCTCAAAGGATCCGTTGCTCCGCTGGTGGCGGCGGATCCAGTCGCTAGCTTCCCGAAGCACCGTTTCGTCCACGTAGATAAGTCCGTCGGCCTGGGCGAAGGACTTCAGCACGAAGGCGGTCAGCCACAGGCTGCCTGACGGGTCGGACTGGCCGAAGGCGGAGAAACTGCCGTCGTCGCGCCGGTAGGTCAGCTCCCGCTGGTAGCCGGTGGTCATCAGGAACTCGGCCTTGGCGCTTATCTCCGGCTTGGATTGGCCCGTGGCTTCCAAGTAGCGCGCCACGTAGATGTTGGGCGCGAAGAGGATCATGTTTCTGCTCTCCGCAGCCGAAGGGCATTTGCAGCAGGTTCTCCAGTCCGTCCAGTGTTTGGGCCAGGTAACTGCCGGTCAGGGCCACGTAGGCGCGGCTGGAGCCGGCGATGGTCCCCGGCGGTGCGGCGACGGGGAAGTCCAACCGGTCGTCCGCCGACAGTATGGCGTTGGCCACGGATTCCCGCGCCGCGCCCTCTGGCTCCACCAGCAGGGTCTCAATCACAGCGTCCGCCCGATTCGCGGCTGCGCGCCGTTACCTTGAGGGGCAGACGGCCCAGTGTGGTCAAGCGGATGCCGAACTCGACACCGCCCACCTCTCCGGGCGCAACGGAAACATTTTTCACGTCGTTGCCCAGCAGAGCGAAGTCTGGTGATTCCTCCAGTTCCACCACGAAATCCTGCGCCGTGTCCAGGTAGTTGTACAGTGCGACCTTGACCGGAAACTCCTCGCCCCGAACCGCTGAGTAAGGCAGGTCAACCTGCAGGAAGAAGGGCTGGAACACGACAAGCTCGGTGTTGGCGACGCCGAAACCGTGTTCGGGAGACATTCCGACAGCGCGCAGGCTCCAGGTGGTGATGCTGTCGGGCGCGGTGGCGGAGAGGACGGCGCTACCCGACTCATCGGTCATCACGTCGTCCCAGAGCCACGTTTCCGGGAAGAATTGCCGCACCCGCTCCACCTCTGCGAGGCCGGAGTCCGCCAGTAAGATGCCCTCCACGGTCATTTCCCTTTTGACCGCTTCTGGGGCCTCCATTGCTACTTCTTCCTCCATTTCCATCATTGCGGGAGCGGGAGTCGCCGTTGGAATTGGTCGTCCGAACTCCTCGCCTGCCGGGGCTTGCCTGTTACTCAGGGTTATCAGCCCGGCTTCGCGGAAGGTGTCGGCGGCGCCGCGGGTGACCACACGGTCAGGCAGATATTCCAGGTGGGCTTCCACCCTCGGCGCGGTGTAAAGACGCTCCAGTTCAGCGAACACCTGTTGGAGGTTGAGGCGGTTTTCCGCCAGGATGAACACTGATCGGTCAACCGCTGCCAGACCGACTTTGGCCACCCCTTCGGTATTGACCAGGATGTCCACTGAGTCCCCGGGCCGCGCCTGCTCCACGCTGAAGCCGGCGCTGATTCGCATCGGGTAGCCCGCAGCTACCTGGAAGGGCAGGTAATCGGCGGCCACCTCGTTGTTGGGGAGAATCTGGTACACCACTAAGCGGGCCGACGGCGCCATATCCGGCGTCAGGCCGAAGGCGATCTCCCGGGTGCGGGCCATGCCGGAGAAGACCACCCGGCCCCGTGACAGCACTTCATAGTAGAAATTGCGTGCCTCCGAGGTCGAATGAACCCTGAAGGCGGCCTGCCCGCCCACTTCCAGCAATGGGTCGCCGGTCTGCTCCACGTGAATGAAGCTGCCCGATGGAGAATAGCTGGCTTGCAGGGCCAGTCGCGCCTCCGCTCCCTTGGAGCGGGCGGTTACCGTCATCGCCACCGCCTTTGCGGGCGGATTGAGTTCGACCAACATCTTGCCCTCGGTGACCTCTGCGTCCAGGGATTCCTGACCGATGCTCTCCAGTTCTTCACCGTAGTAGGCCAGGTGTATTTCAGCGTCGGCGTCTACCGGCTCATTGCCAGGCGTTTCGGCCACCAGCAGCATGGAGAAGGGCAGGCCTGGACTGAAGTAAGACCCGGTCGGTATCAGTTGCAGGTTCACCGGAGAGGCCGCGACGGTAATCAGGCGGCTGGTCTGCTCCACGTATCCGGTGCCCTGCTCGCGCACCGTGACGTTCAACTGCAGGTTGCCCTGTCCTCCGGCAGCGGGAGAACCGGCCACGTATCGGGGGGCGGGCAGCTCGAAAGCGGTTTCGCCGTCGATCTCCTTGGTGAAGGTGGCGTACTCCTCCCACTGGCCCACATAGCGGGAGGCCACGATTTTCCACCTCGCCGCGCACCGGCTTGCCGAAGCTGTACTCGGCAGAAACGGTGCCAGCGACCGCATCATTGACCAGGATCCAGTCCTGGGGCATATCCAAGGTGATTTCATACTTGGGAAGGGAATACTCTTCCACGCGGACATCCAACTGGGCCGTCTGTCCGCTGGAGAGTGCCGTGAGCTTCCAAACTCCCAGGTTGGGCTCTCTGGACAGGGGCAGGCTGGCCGAAGCCATGCCGAACTCATCGGCCACCACCACCCGCTTGTACACCTTGATGCCCTTGGCGTCCTGAATCTCCACGGTCACCGGCCCTGGGACGGGTTTCAGGTCGCTGTTCATCTGCAGCGCGCGAATTTGCAGCTCCTGGCCGGGTTTGTAGATTTGGCTTGTCGGTTTCCAGAAAAAGGATCACCGGAGCGGTCTGAATCTGTACGCGGGCCGAATTGTCGAAGCTCCCGCCGCCAGTCCCTTCACCGGATACCCGCAGCACATAGGAGCCATCGGCCTCCGGCGGCACGGCCAGCGACACGGACCCGCTCCCCTGCACGAACAGCGGCGCCGTGGCTACAACCCGGCCGCTATCCGGCTCCGAGAGCTCCAGCCACACCGTCCCCTCGGCGGGTTCCGCTCTCCGGAACAGCGACACCGGGATGTTGTGCGTCTGCCCGGAGCGCAACACCTCAGGGGCAACCAACATATACCCGTCCACCTGCCGCGAGTAGGTTATCGGTCCAGGCGTGGGCACCGGAGTCTGGGTAGGCGGCATGATGTTGGTCGGCTGTGCGGTTTCACCGAGCGTGGGCAGCGGAGTCTCCGTGGGCGGCGGATTAGTCGTGAGCGGACCCGTTACCTTGGGAGAACCGCCGCAAGCCATCGCCGCCAGGAGCATGGTTATCAGCAAGAGTAGGATACGCAGCGACCTGACATTCATGGCAGCCTCCATCGGGTTCGGCTCTGACAGCCGTTTGAAGATAATATGCGCCGAGATGCCGAATCGTTCCTTGCTCCTGTGCCGCATGGCGATTGCAAAGCCACAGAGCGCGTGCGTAGGGGCGGTTGGAGGTCTTCGTTTGGCGGAAAGAGTAGCTGTTTTTCCGCAGCTACAACAAGAACGGGCGAGAAAACCATTTCTCCATGCGCAGGGCACTCGACGCGATGTTGCTCAGGGTGGGCGAACCTCGCCCAAAACACTGCCTCCACGGTGTGCAAGGGCTGCCGGAGGCAGATGTGCCCAACTGTCACTTCCGGCTGGCCTACGATGCCATCAAGCAGTGGCGGGTGAACGTGCCTACGCGGCCTACGCGCGAATCCCGCACTTGAGGGTGATGACCATGGAATCCACAGTGGTCAGTGCGCTGGTGCTGCTGCAGCAGACCAGTGATTCCTTCGTCTACGGCGCGGTCAGGACACTGGCAAGTCCTGCACCGTCGCCGGAGCCAATGCCGAGCTTGGCCAAGGCGGGATGAGTCTCTGCGAGGCTGGGCTGATTTGACCAGGCCTGTTTGGGCTTAGTCCACGAACCGGCTGAGACTGTCGGAACGGCTATGGGTTTGGTTGGATTGGTTCTAGCGGCAGCACCTGGCCGTTTACGCCAAGCGACCCGCCGAGAGAACAGCAGCGGAGGCAACTGGGTGTCCAGCCTGTTGTTGACCAGATGCAGAGACCTGCTGTCGAGGTGGAGCACCCTCAGGCTTGCAATACTTTCCAATTTCTGCGGAATGGAGCCGCTCATCCATTTTCGCCATGACGCGCCCCTCTGGCTTTTCTCTCGGAATTGGAGAATTCCCGGGCTGGGACGAAAATCAAGTTTCGCAAACGGGCGTCTGGCAACACCCCACCAGAACCTCCTCCCCACCACCGAAATGCTGGCTCCGGGGTGGTCGTATTTTAGAAAAGGGTCTCAACAACCCATCAACCGGTCAGTGCCCATGGGCGTGCTCCACTGCCGCGTCCAACGCTAGGCGCAATGTCATATCCTTCGCTGCAAGCTAGGGAAGGATCGGGAAGGAACTGCGCTATGTCTTGCTATAATTCCCCGGCGGAGCCTCCACTAAAGAAATGATGCGTATATCCGCTTCCCGGGAAGTCGCAATACTTGGTCTCGAATCAGGAAACTTCTGAGGCACGGCTGGCATCCTTCGGTGGCGCATCATTCGGACGCACCAACGACCAGACGCTCCGGTTCCTCAAAGACGGAATGTGGGAGACCGGCAACCGGCCGGTAAGCTACAAGGCCATGGAGTGGGAGCTGAATGCCTTCGACCTCTGCCCGAGGCGGAAATCTAGCAGCCCGTCCGAGAAACAGGGGTGGTGAGCCGGTGGGGGTATGATGGGGCGGAGCATCAGACGAGCGGAGCGGTCAATGAGCAAGACCTACCTTCCCTACGATCCGGACCAGCAGTTGCTGCTGCCGGCGGCGCTGCAGGAGTGGCTGCCACCGGACCACCTGGCCTATTTCATCTCCGACGTCGTGGACCAGTTGGACCTCTCGGCCATCACCGCCCGCTACGAGGAGGAAAGGCGGGGCGGCCCTCCCTACCATCCACGGATGATGGTCAAGGTGCTGCTCTACGGCTACTGCAACGGGGTGGCATCGTCCCGTCGCATCGCCCGGCGTCTCCACGAGGACATCGCCTTCCGGGTGCTGGCGGCGAACAACACGCCGGACTTCCGCACCATCTCCGACTTCCGAAAGGACCATCTGGAGGCGTTGGGGGAATTGTTCCTGCCAGGTGCTGGAGTTGTGCCGGCAGGCAGGACTGGTAAAGCTGGGGCACGTGGCCCTGGACGGCACCAAGGTGAGGGCCAATGCATCAAAGCACAAGGCGATGAGCTACGGGCGGATGAGGGAGAGAGAGGAGCGGTTGCAGGCCGAGGTGGACGAGTTGCTCCGGAAGGCGCAGGAGGTGGACGAGGAGGAGGACCGCCGCTACGGGAGGGACAGGCGTGGGGATGAGTTGCCGGAGGAACTGGCCTTCCGGGAGGGACGGCTGCGGAGGATAAGGGAGGCCAAGGCGGCGCTGGAGGCTGAGGCACGGGCGGAGGCGGAGCAGGCTGAGACCGAGGGCCGCAATCGTCCTGGGGTGCCTGATGACAAGGCGCAGCGGAACTTCACCGACCCGGACTCCTGCATCATGCCCGGCCCGGGAGGGAGGGACTTTCAGCAGTCCTACAACTGCCAGGCGGTGGTGGACAGCGAGCATCAGGTGATCGTGGCGGCCTGTGCCACGAACCAGCCCTCGGACAAGGGTCAGGCCGTGAGCATGATTGAGGAGGCCATCCTGAACGTGGGCACAGTCCCAAAGGAAGTCTCCGCCGACGCCGGGTACTACTCGGCCAAAGAGGTGGATGAACTCTGCGCCTTGGGAGTTGACCCGTTCGTCGCGCCGGAGAAAACCCGCCATGGCTGGGTGCCGCCACCCGCGCCCCGCGGCCGCATACCCAAGGGACTGTCAGCCAGGGACCGGATGCGCCGCAAGCTGCGGACGAAACGGGGCAGGGAACGTTACGCCCTTCGAATGGAGACGGTGGAGCCGGTGTTCGGCCAGATCAAGCAGGGCCGTGGCTTCCGGCAGTTCCTGCTGCGGGGTCTGGCGAAGGTGAACCGGGAGTGGCTGCTGATCTGCGCTGGCCACAACCTGCTGAAGCTGTTCCGCTTCGGGGCCGGGATGTCCGGCAGGGTGAGGGGCAAAGGCGCCACCGGGAACAACAGGGAGACGTGCCGGGCCATGGCCAGTGGGATTTTCAAGCGACAATCCGCATGTGGCTAACCGCACCACGCAAGAACTTTTGCCGCAGGGTAATCCCGGCTGACCGACACCGCCAGTTGGTCAATCCTCAGACGGGCTGCTAGGCCGTAATGGGCCGGGGGAACAGGAAGTACGCCTCCAAGGAGACGAAGAGGCAAGAGAGAAAAGCCAACCGACCCAGCGTGAGGGAAGGAAGATGAACCAACATGAAACCGCCACGGAAAAGCTCCAACGCCAGCAGGGAGCGGTCGCAGATCTGCGCCTAGACCGAGGATCGGACGAGGAGACCCAGAGAGCAGTGATCGAGGAGGCAGCCCGCAGGGCCACCACGGACAGCTGGCCTGAAATGCCCGAGGATGAACGAAAGGGCGTGGTGGAGGCGGTCGTAGACTTTGAGGGACTCAGCTACCAATGGGCGATTTTCAGGCGCGGCTGGACCACCGGCCAGAGCGCGGCAAGAATCCCGGTGGACCCGGAAGTCGCTGGCCCCGGGATCTTGGTCAGAGCATACGCAACAGCCGAAGCAGACCCGTCAGGATGAAAAGCCAAGCAGGAGGGCTGTCCACCGAGGGTGGGACGCAGCCCAGCCTGGAGGAGAGGCTCCGCCGCTACCTGCCCCCCACCGAGTGAGAAACCCGCGACGTATTCGCCACAGCCACCTGTTCTCCGGGTCTGCCCGCATTGCGGGAATCGGGCGTGGTAGCAGGTATCAAGCTGCGGAGGGCACTGGCTTGGGGTGGAACCAACTCCAGTGCCGCAAGTGCGCTGGCTCCAAAACGAAGAATCGACTGTCACACTCCATAGCGGTCCCGCCAATAACCAGCCCCATTCCGCGGTGTCGTCCGGGAGGGTTTGCACCACTCCGTCAAGAAGCATCGACGGAGCCACGAGGCCGAACTGAGCCTCCGGGTTCTTGAGGGAAGCCCGCATCACACCCTCGACCGTTTCCAGGTGCGGGAAGCGCCGAGCCAGCGTCGGGGAGGTCATTGTTCTGCCGGATCCAACGGTCCTGTAAGCCACGTTGTCATCCGGCACAACGACCACGACCTTGGCCTCGTCCACATCAAGCTCGCGCTCCTGAACCATTCGGTCCGCTAGGAGCCTCTGCCGCATGATCTGGTAGAAGGGCTCATAAAGGAAATCGTCCAAGTCCGGCACGATGTCCGGGTTGAACGCCGAATATGGAGCACGGAAAAGGTCGGCATATCTCAGCCTGCGGGTGTCGCCCGATTTGCTTTCGCCTTTGAAGTCCGGCCTGGTGGACTGGTACCGTTCAACGTACTTCCACTCCAGCAGGTAGGCCCGACTGCGATCTGATGCGGTTTCGACCACCAGGAAAGCGTCGACGCTGGTGTTCTGAGCTCCCCTGGTCCTCCCTCCTTCGAGGGAACGGGGGACGCCCAGCCACTCGAACTCCACCGGAGAGACACTACCCTCGTGGTGTACGTCCACAACCTCGCGGACGTCACCATCCAAAGCCTGCAAAGCCGCTTTCAACGCTCCGGGAATTCCGGCCAGGGGCAGCAGGAAGTTGACGCAGGCCACCTGGGAGCTTGCCATGTTCCGGGTTGGGCCGTCTACCGTGGTGTCGTCGCCGCTTCTGGTGCTCTTCCACCACTTGATGTTGCGCTGACCGAAGAAGTCGACGGCTCCGCCCATGCCCCGGATGCTTGGGAAGAGGTTCTCCTCCTCGTGTCCCAAGGCCAAGAGATGAGCATTGCGCATTCCTATATCGTCTTTTGGATGTCTTCCCGCGGAGCTGACGGTCTGGGACTCATCTCGGAAGATTTCTTGACGTCTCTTGGCAGTGCGTTCAAAGCCAGTTATTGAAAAGGGCTGCTGCATCCAGTTACACCATTGTGCGGTAGATTTCCTGGGGACCCAGGGTCGGAGTCCCCGAAAACTGCCGGTTGCAAATCAGCCCTTCATCACCTTTCTACGCACGCGGCGGCATCGTCAGGCGCTGGCGAAAATCTCGTTGGCAATGTCCATCGCGCCCCTGGCAAACGGTATCCCGGCGTAGAGCGTCATGTGGCCGAACACCTCGATGACCTGGTCCTGCGTAAAGCCGATGTTCAGCGCGCCCCGGATGTGGCTCCGCAGCGGCCCCTCGCGGCCCAGCGCCGCTAGGCATGACATCGTGCAGATGCAACGGGAAGGAAGATCAAGCCCCGGTCGCGTCCAGGTCGCACCCCAGTAGTATTCGCCGGTAGTGCGCCCCAGTTCCCTTTCAGCCTGAGTCGGCGGAGCCGGACGGGCCGGGGAGGTGGTCCCCATGTAGTTCCGCCGGTACTCGTCCCCCCGCTGGAACAGGCTGTCGGGATCTTCGTTGGAATCGTGGATGCGGGCCGGCGTGAAGTCTATCCTGCGCTCCTCGAAAACCGCTTTGCACAGTGCCAGCGCCTGGATGCCCGCCGGCGCTCCACTGTACCAGGTGTCGTGAATGATCAACTCCACGATCTGTTCCGGCGTCAACCCCACATTCAGCGCGTTGCCCAAGTGCCGCTTCAGCTGTACCTCGCGGTTCATCACTACGAGGCACGACAGCGTGACCATTTCCCGCTGCACCGGGGTCAGCGCCGGCCGCTTCCAGATGGTGCCGAAGAGCGCCTCACCCAGGATCCTTTCCAGGTCCGGCGCGATTTCCCATGCAGGCGTAGGGCCCCCGGGGGTGATTTGGCCGCCGCCAAACATTCTCCGTGTTTCCAGTCCTCGTTCGTAACGATCATCCAGTTCAGTCATAGCACGTCTCCATAGCGTGTGTAGCCATATCAAAGGCAGTGTAAGGCGGCATCCCAAGGCGTGCAACGGTGCTCCCTCAGAGTCTTGTGTCTAGAGGTTGGCGCCGAGGGACTCCCTCGTGGAAGCATGGATCCACAGGATCGCGACCTACGGATGACGCCTGGGCATGTAGACTTAACTCCGATGTCCTTGCGGTGCGTGAGGGGGCCCCCTAGAATTGGGATATTCGCGATTGCCCCAGGGCGTCGAATACGGAGTGGAAGATGCTGGTCGATCTCATTAGCGTGACGAACCGGGAAGGCCTGGTGCTGGACGGTGCGTTCTATGCTTCAGTAGCCGACACCCAGTATCCCGGCCCGGTGAATGCGGTCCTTCTGATTCACGGGTCTCGGGGCAATTTCTGCGATCCTGCCACCAAGTCCATGGCCGAAGACCTGAGCGCCCAGGGCATTGCCTGTCTTACACTGAACACCAATGCCCACGACACCATCTGGTACAACCCGCCGGGCCAGGACTACAAGGGCAACGCCTACGAAATTCTCGAAAGCACCATGAGCGATTTGCGAGCCGGCATAGACCACCTGGAGAAGCGCGGGTATCACGCCGTCGGGCTGCTGGGACACAGCATGGGAGCAGTCCGGGTCACCTATTACGCCGCCACGCAGGACGACCCGCGGGTCACCGCCGTAGTGCCTGTCTCACCCGTGCGTCTGTCCTACTCGCACTACCTGGAGTCCGAGGACGCCGCAGAATTCCGGGCCAATCTCGAGACGGCGCAGCGCCTGATGGACGAGGGGGATCCCGACGGAGTATTCCGGGTCAATTTCCCCATCCCGCAGTTCTTCAGCGCGGCATCCTACGTTGACAAGCACGGCCCCTTCGAGAAGTACAACCTGATCAATGTCGCCGACCGGATACGGGTACCCATCCTCGCGCTCAACGGTTCCCGGGAGACGCACACCCGGCTGATGGGAATGGCCCAGGACCTTGCCAGGGCCGCAGTGAACTGCCCCAGCGCCAATTCAATAATGGTGGACGACGGGGAGCATTCCCTGGTGAACCGCACCGCCGAAGCCTCGACTGCTGTCCTGCAATGGCTGGCCTCCCTCGCGCTGCAGGAATCTCCGGTCTAGGTGTCGTCACCGCCCCTCGCGGACGATTCGTCACACGCAATGCAGACCTAGCAGCCCGTCCGAGAAACAGGGGTGGTGAGCCGGTGGGGGTATGATGGGGCGGAGCATCAGACGAGCGGAGCGGTCAATGAGCAAGACCTACCTTCCCTACGATCCGGACCAGCAGTTGCTGCTGCCGGCGGCGCTGCAGGAATGGCTGCCGCCGGACCACCTGGCCTACTTCATGTCGGACGTGGTGGACCAGTTGGATCTCTCGGCCATCACCGCCCGCTACGAGGGGGAAAGGCGGGGCGGCCCTCCCTACCATCCACGGATGATGGTCAAGGTGCTGCTCTACGGCTACTGCAACGGGGTGGCATCGTCCCGTCGCATCGCCCGGCGTCTCCACGAGGACATCGCCTTCCGGGTGCTGGCGGCGAACAACACGCCGGACTTCCGCACCATCTCCGACTTCCGAAAGGACCATCTGGAGGCGTTGGGGGAATTGTTCCTGCAGGTGTTGGAGCTTTGCCGGCAAGCAGGACTGGTAAAGCTGGGGCACGTGGCCCTGGACGGCACCAAGGTGAGGGCCAATGCATCAAAGCACAAGGCGATGAGCTACGGGCGGATGAGGGAGAGAGAGGAGCGGTTGCAGGCCGAGGTGGACGAGTTGCTCCGGAAGGCGCAGGAGGTGGACGAGGAGGAGGACCGCCGCTACGGGAGGGACAGGCGTGGGGATGAGTTGCCGGAGGAACTGGCCTTCCGGGAGGGACGGCTGCGGAGGATAAGGGAGGCCAAGGCGGCGCTGGAGGCTGAGGCACGGGCGGAGGCGGAGCAGGCTGAGACCGAGGGCCGCAATCGTCCTGGGGTGCCTGATGACAAGGCGCAGCGGAACTTCACCGACCCGGACTCCTGCATCATGCCCGGCCCGGGAGGGAGGGACTTTCAGCAGTCCTACAACTGCCAGGCGGTGGTGGACAGCGAGCATCAGGTGATCGTGGCGGCCTGTGCCACGAACAGCCCTCGGACAAGGTCAGGCCGTGAGCATGATTGAGGAAGGCCATCCTGAACGTGGGCACAGTCCCAAAGGAAGTCTCCGCCGACGCCGGAGTACTACTCGGCCAAAGAGGTGGATGAACTCTGCGCCTTGGGAGTTGACCCGTTCGTCGCGCCGGAGAAACCCGCCATGGCTGGGTGCCGCCACCCGCGCCCGCGGCGCCTCACAAGGACTGTGCAGCCAGGACCGGATGCGCGCGCAAGCTGCGGGACGAACGGGCAGAACGTTTACGACGAACGGGCCCATCGCGGATGGAGCGTGTGAGGCCGTGTTCGGCCAGATGCACGCAGGGCCGTGGCTTCCGGTCAGTTCCTGCGTCGGCGGGGTCTGGCGAGGTGGCACCGGAGGGCTGCTGATCTGCGCTGGCCACAACCTGCTGAAGGCTGTTCCGGTAGGCGGGGCCGTGGCTATCCGGTACGGGTCCGGGATGTTTCCGGCAAGGGTGAGGGGCAAAGGCCGCCAGCCGGGTAACACAGTGAGACGTGCGGGCCATGGCCCGTGGATTTTGGCAATCAAGGCGACAAGCCGCACTGTGCTAAGACCGCACCAACCGCACGACTGTGCCGCAGGTAATCCCGGCTGACCGACACCGCCAGTTGGTCAATCCTCAGACGGGCTGCTAGGGTCTCGCATCGTGACTCTGGTGCAGGCGATGTTATTTCGGGAGCAAGCAAGGGTGTAGCAGAGCAGCCTCGGGCGCCTCGGGACCCCTTTCCCCCTGCCACCCTCGTGACCGTCAGTTCATCTTGCGGTGCGCCACTTCCCTTGCCGGCAATGCAGCGGAAACTTGTTAGGACAAACTCGGTAGCAATTCAACGAATTGGTGCTTTTGCACTCAATTTAATAGCATTGCCACCACGTCGCCCGGGAAAGACTGCCCCGAGGCTGCTAGATGGATGGAAATGGGACCGGCGTCCAAAGGCTGATCCGAACAGGCTGGAATACGCTTCACAAGGGAAGCACGGCTGTCTTTGCCGCATCTCGGGCAGTCGTCGTCGTTGCGTCTCTAGGCCTGCTGATCCTCTTGTCAGCCGCCTCCATCCTGGCCTGCGGCACCTACACTCTGCCAGTCTCGGACTCGGCCGCGGAGGAGGGAACACCCACAGCTCCCGCCCAAGTCTCGTTGGTGCCCTCAACCCCACCTACGGTCACCCCGCAAGCTCCACCTGCGGCGATCCCCGTTGTGCCTCAAACGATTGCGCCAACTCGGGCTCCCTCTGTTGTGCCCACATCATTCCCTACACCTGTGCCCGCACACCTGATCGCTATGTTCGATGAGATCGATGCTCTGCCCTGGGTCAAGGATGGTATTTCGGAAAACGATGGAATAATGGTGGCAAATCTGAGGCGGCTTGCGAAAGTTTCGGAACCGGCCTTCCGGTCGATAATGTCCAGGACGTGGATCGCTACCCAGGACCAGGATTTCACGTGGAGCGAACAGTGGGTTGTCCGGGATTCTGCTCACTTGGCTGAAAACGACACCGAACTCGCGGAGCAACTGGTCGAGATGTCCGTTGTCGAGACCATCGACATCCCGGATGAGATAGCCATAAATAAGATCGTTGAGCTATTCGACAACGACCGGCAGGCACTCCGGCACATACTGGCATTGCCGGAGTTTGCAGGCGGAATCACTGACGAACTGGCGCCCCTGATCCCGCTCTTTTACCTTGATACGCTGGATCCCGAAGCCGCGGAGGCGATCAGGTCTCTGCATTGGGTCGGCGACGGAAGACCTTCCCGGAGGGACGAGCGCAGTGTAGACACCGAACCGGAGACTATCGAAGGCCTGCAGACACTGGCAAAACTCCACCCCAACGTGTTCTGGGCAGTTATCGCAAGCGAATGGATGCGGCATGCCTCAAGGGGCTCCACCTGGGACCGCGCCATTTTAGTCACTTTTCTCATCCAGATTGCAGACGTGGACGAAGAATCGGCTTTGCGGATTCTCGACCTGCCCTTCTTGGATACCGTGGAGTATGACGATGTCTTCGTGATGGCCTTTCTCCGGGACCTTGCCAAGGACAACTTACCTGAGGCGCGTCGGCTGCTATCAAATCCCGCGCTACAGGACCCTGATATGGGCAGCACCACGGCCGATATCTATCCGTTGTTTCTGAAAACTCAGGGGCCTGAGATCGCCGCAGGTGTGGAATCCTTGCGGTCGGTGCAGGATGGCGTGGACCCTGTCTATGACTACATCGAACCCTCCCACATTTCCAACGCCCACCACGAGACTGAAGCGCTGTGGCATCTCACAGAACTCTACCTCCAGGCACCGGAAGTCTTCCTGTCGACGGTCCGCCGTCCATGGGTCCAGGATGCCATAGGTATCGAGGAAAAGACGGCTATAGTCAATCTCCTGTACTTGACGTCTCGAGACCCTGAATCCGCGAGCCGCATCGCAGCAATGGCGTTCCTTGACATAGTCACCAAGGACGACCTCTCCATCCTTCAAACTCTCCGCGATCTATCGAGGGGAAATAGTCCGGCGCTCCGCAGGATCCTGTCCGACCCGGCGCTGTCTGACGGCATAACCAACAACGATCTGGGAACCCTGGTGCTTCTCGTTCTTCGGGAGGAGGACCGCGAAGCGGCAAGGGTCATAGAGGCCTTGCCATGGGTGAGGAATGGAATTTCCCCGTACGAAGAATCCGCCCTCCTGCAACTGCGCGGAACGGCTCTGAATGCGGACCAGCTTTTCCCCAGGTTGATGCAGAAACCTTGGGTTCGAGACGGCCTTACCAATGACGAGTTAGCCGTAGTAGAAGAATTGAGTTGGTTATCCCGGACGGCCTATAGAGGGTGGACTCGGCGCTCCTTTTCCGACGAACCCACGGCGCTCCAAATACTCGACATGCCTTTCCTCGAGACGGTTGACGGAATCGACGCCGCCGCAACGTACTCTCTGGGTGCGTCGTTCTGGTTTGAGGACACCAACTACCTCGAGGAAATCATGGCTCACCCAAGAGTAAGCGATGGCATTACAGACGACGAAGCACCGGTAATTGCAGCGATGCAGATGGTGCTCTCGAACAGTCCCTGGCATTTGGATGACCTGCTCGAGTTGCCCCTGGACACCGTGGAGGAACGCGTGGTCAGCCTTCCATATTCCAGCGAAGTGGCGATTTCGGTGGTTAACCTGAACCCCGGAAATTACCGGACTATTGACATACTGGAGGAATCCCTGCGGAGGCAGGAGGAATTCATCTGAGTTCCATTCCCGAAGACCTATGCGGGACTGCTGGTGGCCAATGCCTTTGGGGAACTGGGCGCTGGAGGGCCGGGAGGCGTGTTCTCTGTCTCCATCAATAGCGTGGAGAACTCCCGCTCCATCGCTCACGAATTGGCCCACACCTACTGGAGCTTCTTCCCCGGCTGGATTTCGGAAGGCGGCGCCGAATTTATGGCCGGGGTCTCAACGGGCAGCGGCTTCTTCATCTTCGGCACCGAATGCAGTCTGGTGGATAACATTTCGGAGCTGGACCAGTTGTACGAAAAGGTCCAGAAGGATCCGTCCTTGAGAGGAATAATCCAGAAATCCCAGTGCGAATATACCTTGGGACGAGGCCTGTTCAACGAGCTTTACGACACCCTGGGCGACGAGCAATTTCGCCAGGATTTCCGGCGCCTGTACCTGTCTATGCGTGAAGAAACGCTAAACGACAGGTGCTCCGGACTGGACAAGGGAATCTGCTATGTCAGGTATGCCTTTATTGAAAGCACATCACAGGCGGCCGCGGCCAAGGCTGAGCCCATAATCACCCGCTGGTATTCGGGCAACCCTGAGTAACCCCATCAAATGGTAACCCTGTAAAAGCGGAGGCTATTCCTCACGGTGTTACCATGACGAACCCGGTTCCGTGATCACTGGATGAACCTGCTGCCATGGGTGGCTCCGGCGCCTCGCTTTTCGTTGGTAATGGCTCGCCAATTCCCTTTATAGTCCGCCGTGTTGAACGCATACTTCACCCACACTGCCTCTTATTTTAGTCTGGACGTGCCTGGTATTGAACTTCGACTCCCTCAGGTTCTTCACTCCAGCCCCGTTTCTTGCGGTCGCTGCCCTCTTGCTGGCCTCTTTATTTGCAGGATGTGGTGCTGAAACCCCGATTCCACCAGCTACCCAGTCGCAGACTTCAACTGCCGTGCCTGTGGCCACCGCCGTTTGGACTGTCTCCCCGCAAACCTCCGGCATACCACGCAGAACCTCGGCCACCCCTCAAGGCGTAGCTCCTACAGCGGCACCGGTATTGCCGGCTGCCATCGTCCCTGCCCAAACTATGCCTACCACCGTGGAAACTTCCACTTCCACTATCCCTCTGGCGCCCACGCCGCAACCCTCACCGGAACCGGTATCACCGGCTGCGATCGTCCCTCCCCTAACTCCCCTCGCCCCTGCGGAAACTTCTAGTCCCACTATCTCTTCGTCCCCCACCCCGCAACCCACAGCAGAACCGGCGTTGCCTGCGACGACCCCGCCGGCCCCCACGCCGCAGGCCTCACCGGAACCGGCATTGCCTACTATGACTCCGCCGGCCCCCACGCGGCAACCCTCACCGGAACCGGTTGTGCCTGCCACGGTCCCTCCTCCCTCCGCGCCGCAACTCTCGGCCGAAGAGGAAGAGGTTGCTCGTCGAATGTCGCAATTCCTGCCGTGGTTTGAAAGTCCGCCTGACAACATTCATGCGGGGGCTAAGAGGTTCATCATTAAACTCGCGCTTCGGTCACCCGAGGTGGCCAACAAGCTGGCTAGTTGGCCATGGCTCGTGGATGGCGTCACCGAGAATGAGCACAAGACCATTGGCTTCCTTTACTCAATGGCGCATGCCGATGAACACCTGGCTGCCTTGGTTTCAGAATATGCTTGGGTGGCAGACGGCCTGCAGGAGTCAGAGAACTGGCCGGCGAATCTCCTGTTGGATATGGCGAGGAATAATCAGGAGACAGCCGCCCTTCTCGTCGGTCTCCCTTGGCTGGCCGACGAGGTCAACGATCTGGAAACGTCAATTCTTTATTACTGCGCAAGCCTCGCATATGAGGGCCAGGACCTTGCGAAGGGGCTGGCGGCCCAGTCATGGCTCACTGATGGCGTGTCTCAGCACGAATCCGGAGTCGCTGCCGAAATTGTAGAAATAGCCAAGGTGGACCCCGAACTTGCCAGAGTGATGCTGGAGTTTCCGTGGCTGCGCCGCGAGGCGAACTATGGTAACCGCGAAACCTTTCCGGGCTTGGCGAAGTTTATTGCCTGGGATCCTGTGCTTGGACGCAGGCTGGCCACCGTGCCTTGGCTTTTGGACGGTGTCTCTCAGCAGGAGTCCGAAGTCGTTGCCGAAATTGTAGCTATAGCCAAGGTGGACTCTCAACTCGCCAAAACGGTGCTGGAGTTTCCGTGGCTGCGCTACGACGCGAACTACGACGACGTTCAGACCATTCTGGGATTGGCGAAGGTGGTTGTCCGGGATCCTGTGTTGGGACGCAGGCTGGCCGCCGCGCCCGAAATTGCTGATGAAGAGTTTGTGACCTCCCAGGTCTGGTGGGATCTGGACAGACTGGCAGTGGTGGCGCCACGCGACCCCGAGCTGGTTTCCCGGATTCTGGATACTTCCCCCGGCCCGTTAAGTTGGAGAAATCGCCACCTTTTTGGGGCCCTATCCTTCCTGATGCAGGAACGGCCCGACGCATACATGGAACTAACACGGCAGTCCTGGTTCGCCGATGGGTTAAACGACGAGGAGGCCGCTTTTCTGATCACCGCTCCGGATGTGTTGAATAACGCCCCGGATGAATACTTCCAGATGCTGAATTCCCGATACGCCGAATCCCGAATCGTCAATCTTCCCCTGGCAGGCGAAGTATCCATCTGGGCAATTCAGAAGGAACCATTCCCTCAAGGTGAGGACATCACAGCCACTATCGCCGAGGGTCTTGTGGCCCTTGAGGAGTTTCTGGGCATTCCCTTTCCCCGGGACTTCGTAGTAGCGCTGATACCGGTAGTTGGACCCGATACCGAAATTGAAGTCCACTACTCTAGCCTGACTGGAGACTGGGAAGGGGGTGGAGCGTATGCGGGGGGCTACTTCAGGGCCACCAGACCAGAGGGGAACTCGGTCCCCCTTTCCGTTATCTACCACGAACTGGCCCACTACTACTTCGCGTTCGCTCATCCTGCCTGGCTCCTCGAGGGAGGCGCGAGTTTCATGGCCACCTACGTCAAGGACCGAGTGGGAGTTGAAAGCCTCGAGAGTAGAAGAGCCAATTTGCGAAAGCGGGTCGACGGAAATTGCAGATCTGACGAGGTGCGGAACATCCACGATCTGGGCGAACCGGGTTTCTTCCTCCAGGCTGACTCACGATCACGGTGCTTCTACTCCATGGGAGAGGAATTCCTGGCCGAGTTGTCCCTCTCCCTGGGGTTGCATACTACGTCGGGAGCCTTGCGGGAACTTTTGCAGGCGATCCACTCCCTGGATCGCTCCGTTCCCCTCCAAACCAAGGACATCGTCCTCGCCTGGTGGAACAATACCCCGCCGGAGCGCTGGGAGGATTTCCGCAGGCTATTCAGGCAAATGCACGGTGGGCCTGTTGCTGAATTCAACCCGGCCGTTTCCGGTGCCGACGACTATGGCGATTCGGAATCGGATGCTGCCTCGCTCACCCTGTCCAGATGGGTGCAGGGCGATCTGGGAAGTGTGTTTGACACCGACGTCTTTCGATTCCGTGCAGAGGAGGGGAAGACTTACCTGATAAACTTCTATCATCAAAACATTGACCTGAAGACCGCATCCGAGGACTTCTATCTCACTATGACCACTGTGGACGGCGGCCCCTCCTGGCTCCGAGCCCACGGAGGCGGCGAGTATGGCGTCGAGACGGCCTGGATCGCACGCAGGACTGGCGACTACTACGTTTCCGTGGCAAGCGCGGTGGGAACCGTTGGACCCTACAGCCTGCTGGTGTCTCCCGAGGGTTCCGTAGCAGACGATCACGGCGACGACACTGAGAGCGCGACGCCCCTGGCTATAGGGTCAAGGGCCGAGGGATATTTGGGCCACGAGACCGATGTTGACTACTTCTACATTGATGCACTGAGTGGCTATTCATACGAGGTAGCCGTGGGCCACTCCAGTGTCCAGTATTCCAGGGTCACGTTGTTCGGACCGCCAGGGAGCGCCTGGGAGAAAGGCAAGCCAGCCGAGGGTTGGGGCAAACAAGGCAGCCGCAACCGGTGGCTGGCCTCCGAGACCGGGCATTATTACCTGGCAGTGGAAAACCCCTTCGGTACCCCTGGGTCGTATTTCATAAACGTGACTGAGACCGCTCCCCAAACCGGCGACCACGGCGACACCGCGTCCTCGGCATCTCCCATACGGCTGGGTCAGACTGTTCAGGGACAGCTGGAACATTCTCTTGACCAGGACTACTTCGTCTTCCGGGCCGAGGCGGACCGCGAATACAGCGTTATTTTCGACCACGACACTATTACTTACCAGCCTGTTATCATCCTCGCCCCAGACGGAAAAACTCTCGTCCACGAACACCCGCCTTTCGACCGCCAGTACAGGGATACTTACACACCATGGGTGGCGCCCGAATCGGCGTATTACTACGTGGTCTTTCGCAGTCCCGACGGCGACACCGGCACCTATACGCTGACCGTATTGGCCGGAGTGGCTGGGAACGACGATCACGGTGGCACTCCCCGCACAGCCACAAGAATCGGCTTGGACCAGGTTATTCCCGGATCGCTCGATCAGGAAATGGACTTCGACCATTTCCGCTTTTTTGCCGACCAGGGTCAGGAATACGAAATCAGGGCCAACTACCGGCTAGCCCAAATGCCGGACGTGCGGTTGTGGCTATTCGCACCCGACGGCATGACGCAGGCGGACAGATTCGTTGACAGGGGTCGAATCCAGAGAGGCAAGTACCTCGAGTGGGTGGCCCCTGCTTCCGGCGAATACATCGTTGTCCTGTGGAGCCCGGAAGGCGACGTTGGGGACTACACCCTCGAGGTGTTGCTCGGATTTGATCGCTAGAAAAACAGCCGTTGGTTCTCCAGTGCAGTGTCCCTGATTTATGATCCGGTATTGCGGAACGGGTGATTTTTACGACACTGCCAAGACTGCTTGTTGACACCCCTCGTGAAGAACTCTAGGCTAGCGAAAAATCCGAATCGACGCTGGGGGATACAGGTGAATTTATGGAGATCAAAGACCTGATTATTGACGACCGGCAGCGGGGATTCTTCAAGGTCCACCGCTCGTCCATGACCTCCACCGATTTGTTCCAGAGGGAACAGGAATACATCTTCAACCAGTGCTGGATCTACCTAGGCCACGAGTCGGAAGTCGAGAACCCCGGGGACTTCCGGCGCCGCACAGTAGTAGGCCGCCCGCTGTTCTTCGCCCGTGGCAGGGATGGCCAGGTGCGGGTTTTCCTCAATTCCTGCACCCACCGCGGGGCTTTAATCTGCCGCCGCGATCAGGGGAATGCCGAAGTCCTGCAGTGCTTCTACCACGCCTGGTCCTTCAACACCAACGGGGATCTGATCGGCGTTCCCGGCGAGGAGGCCTACGGCCCTTACTTCGACCGGAGCGATCTGGGCCTGAAGGAACCTCCTAGGGTCGAAAGCTACCGGGGCTTTGTCTTCGTGAGTTTCAACCCCTATGTCGAAGACCTGGTAAGTTACTTGGCGGGCGCCAGGGACTACCTTGACCTGATCGTGGACCAGGCCGAGGAGGGGATGCGGGTAGTCCCAGGCTCCAACAAGTACACCATGAAGGCCAACTGGAAGCTCTTGGTGGAAAACAGCCTCGATGGCTATCACCTGATCCCGACGCACCAGACCTATCTCGATTACATCTCCAGTCTCGGGACCGACGACAGCGGGGAAACCATGGCATCCCGCCTCCCCGGCGCAGCCAAGGCCTTGGGCAATGGCCATTGCGTGATCGAATCCGCGGTTCGGAATGGCCGTCCCATCGCCCATTGGCACCCGCTGTACGGCGAGGACGCCAGGGAGCCGATGGCCCGGGTCCGCGAGCGGCTCGTGGAGAAATACGGGGAAGAGCGCACCTGGCGGATGGCCGACACTTCCCGTAACCTCATCATATATCCGAACTTGGTCATCAACGACATAATGGCCATCACCATCCGCTACTTCGAACCCCAGGCCCCCGACCACATGGATGTCACTGCCTGGCACCTTGTCCCAAGGGAGGAATCAGATTCCATGCTGGCCACTCGATTGGACAGCTTCCTGACGTTCCTCGGGCCGGGTGGCTTTGCCACCCCCGACGATGTGGAGGCCCTGGAGTCATGCCAGGCGGGCTTCCGCGCCACCGAAACCGAGTGGTCCGACATCTCCCGGGGTATGCTCAGGCCCTCTCCGCAATCAACTGATGAGCTGCAGATGCGGGGATTCTGGCGCCAATGGCACGCGAATATGCAGGGCATGAGCAAGACCGACGTGCAGGACGGTCAGCCCCTGGAAACGGAAGCCGCTCTGGCAACCGACGACTAAAGCCCTGCCGGACCGGGTGAAATATGACAACCGTTAACAGCCCCACGTTGCGCGAGCTGGTCGAGGACTTCCTCTACAAAGAGGCAGCGCTGCTCGATGATTGGCGCCTGGACGACTGGGTGAGTCTGTTCACCGAGGATGGTCGTTATGTGGTCCCCACCACCGACCTGCCCGACGGGGACCCCCGGCGCGACCTCGTGTTCATCGACGACGACATCACCCGCTTGCGCGCCCGGGCGGTGCGACTCAACAGCCGCCATGCCCACCGCGAGTATCCGTGGTCGCGCACCCGCCGGTTCGTTTCCAACGTGCGGGTTGAAGAGACTAGGGATGGCGAACTCGCTGTTGCCGCCAACGTAATGGTGTACCGGTTCCGCAACGGCGAGGGAGCCCCCTACATTGGCAGCATCGACTACATCCTGCGGCGCGACGGCGGGAACTTGAAGATAGCGCACCGCCGCGCTGTGCTGGATCTGGAAGCCCTCTCCTGGCACGGCGCGGTCAGCATAATCTTTTGAACACTCAGGCAGAACAATTCAGCGAAGTACCCATATGGTAGAGGAACACGCTTGAAACTCGAAGGTAAAACGGCGCTGGTGACAGGCACGAGTCCCAACATCATGGGCGGCATCGCCGAGGAGCTTGCCCGCGAGGGCGCCAACTTGGTCTGCGTCGATGTCCGCGAGGAATATGCCGGGAAATGCGCCGCAGCCATCGTCGCCGAAGGGCACGAGGCCATCGGCGTAGCCTGCGACGTTACCGATGAGGAACAGGTGCTCGCCGCCATCTCCGCGGCCACGGAACGGTTCGGGGGCGTGGACATTCTGGTGAACGGCGCGGCCCAGTTCAATTTCAAGGGCGTGTTGAACATGCCGCTCGATGAGTGGCGCCGCCAGACCGACATCATTCTCACCGGTGCGTTCCTGTTCACCAAGTACGTGGCCCATTCGATGATCCAGCAGGACCGGAAGGGCAACATCATTAACATCATCTCCACCGCCGGACACCAGGGCGAGCCCGGCAACGTGGGCTACGGCACCGCCAAGGCTGGGCTGATGAACTTCACCCGTTCGGTGGCTATGGAACTTGCCCGGTACGGCATCCGGGTCAACAGCCTGACGCCCACTGCCACAGGCCAGTCGGAGGCACTGGAACGGGCGGCCAGGTGGGGTGTGGAAGACTGGCCGGGACCCCGATTGGGACAGCGCGCCTCGGGCCTGCTGCCCGACGCCAGCAGGGGCGCCCCCCTGCTCAAGCTCCCCAGCCCGTCGCATTACGGCAAGGCTGCGGTCTTTCTGGCATCCGATGACGCTGAAATGATCACCGGTTTCGACCTGCGCGTCGATGCTGGTGCCGTTTCCAGGTACTGGATCTGGTCTCCGGGAGACGCTTAACTCTTTCAATAACTGGAGGTCAAGATGGCCGAAATCCTAGGCGCGGGCGTGACCCACTATCCTCCAATGCTGGTATCCGACGAGGAGAGAGCCTTCCCGATCAACATTACGCTGGCGCGCGACGAGCGTGTTCCTGAGCATATGAAGAATCCGGCCAACTGGCCTGAAGCCATGCGGGTGGAATACGGGGAGGACGAGGGTGTCGCCTCGGCCGCCCAACACCGTGAGCGCCTGGTCAAGAGTTTCCGTGTAGTCAGCGACGAGATTCAGGCATTTGAGCCTGACTTCGTCGTGATTTTTTGGCGATGACCAGTACGAGAATTTCAGGGAGACCATTATTCCCCCCTTCTGCATCCTGGCCTACGAGGAATCGGAGTCCACACCGTTCCAGAAGGGATTTGCCGCTGGCAAGCGAAACGCCTGGGATGAGCCCGCGGACAAGGCGTTCAGGTACCAGGGCCACCCCCAGGGAGCCCGGTGGCTGGCAAGCCGGTTGATCGAGCAGGGCGTTGACATGGCTTATGCCTACAAGCCGCTGTACGACCCCGGATTGCCCCACTCGATCCTCAACACCCTGCTGTTCCTGGACTACGACCGCAAGGGTTTCGAGGTTCCGGTGGTGCCCTTCGCCGTCAACTGCTACGGCAGCAAGGTCATCAGCAACCGCGGCGGCATCCTCCCTCACAAGGAGAATGGCAAGCTCCTTGAGCCGGACCCGCCTGGTCCATCGATCAAGCGCTGCATGCAGGTGGGTGCGGCGACCGCTCGTGCGCTTCAGGAGAGTCCTTGGCGCGTGGCGCTGGTGGCGTCGTCAAGCTGGTCCCACGCTTTCCTGACCGAGAAGAATCACTTCCTGTGGCCCGACATTGAGTCCGACCGCGCCATGTTCGAAGCCCTCCAGGCCGGCGATTACGACGCTTGGGGTAAGGTCTCCACTCCCCAGATCGAAGCAGCGGGCCAGCAGGAGCTCTTGAACTGGGCCTGCCTGCTGGGCGCCATGGCCGAGCTGGACCGGAAACCCGAGGTCCTCGACTACGTTGAGACCTACGTGTTCAACTCCAACAAGTGCATGGCCGTTTTCCGGCCTTAGCGGCCCCATACCGGTCTGCCCGCAATTCAAACGCGTTGGGTAGACCCGGCACTATTCCGACTCAGGCGGCATGCTCATAGCAGGGGCGGGTTTCAAACCCGCCCCTGCGGCGAGTCGGCATGAGCCTCCGGGTCCCACCGCTCGATTCGCAACCCCCCGTTCGCGTGACCTCCGGTTGACCCTGTGAGGTGAGGCTGTTACTGTCCGATTCAAAGGTGCTTGACACTATTTAAGTAGTGGGCAGGGCCCGCGAAGGGGGGACACAATGACCATCTCCGAAAGCATCACTGCGGAGGCCTCGACTCTTGCCCCGGTTTCCCACCCCTTGGACCCTCTCACGGCCCATGAGATAGCCGAAGCCTCGGCTATCCTGAAGTCCGAACGCCAGTTGGGCGATCGGGTGCGGTTCGAGACCGTGGTTCTCCAGGAACCGGACAAGAAACACGTAATCGACTATCGCTCCGGCGCCCCCATTCCACGCTCGGCCTTCCTGGTTATCCTCGACAACGAGACCGCATCAACCTTCGAGGCTGTGGTGTCCCTCGACGAACGGCGCGTGGTCTCGTGGAAGCACGTCCCAGGTGTCCAGCCGAGGGTGATGTTCGACGAATTCCTCGAATGCGAGGCGGTGGTCAGGGCCGATCCTCAATTCTTGGCCGCCATCGCCAAGCGGGGAATCATCGATTCGAGCCTGGTGATGGTCGATCCCTGGTCTGCCGGGAACTATGGCTACGCGGACGAGGAAGGACGCCGGCTGGTGCTTGCTCGCTGCTTCCTCCGCTCCAGCCCCACCGATAACGGCTATGCCCGTCCCATCGAGGGAGTCACCGCCGTCGTCGACCTGAACAGCATGGAGGTTGTGCGCGTCGACGACTACGGCCTGGTTCCTCTGCCCCCCGAGGACGGGAATTACGGTGCCGAGTTCGTCGGGAAGTTCCGTGGCGACGTGAAACCCCTGGATATTACCCAGCCTGACGGGCCGAGCTTCGAGGTGAACGGTTGGGGAGTTTCCTGGCAGAAGTGGCGCCTGCGCGTCGGCTTCACGCCACGAGAAGGCTTGGTGATCCACAACGTCGGCTATGAAGACCAGGGACGCATCAGGCCGGTCCTCTACCGTGCCGCCCTGTCCGACATGGTGGTGCCATACGGCGACCCCAGCAAGGACCATTACAGGAAGAATGCTTTCGATGCGGGCGAGTACGGCATCGGCTCTCTCACGAACACTCTTACCTTGGGATGCGATTGCCTGGGAGAGATCCACTACTTCGACGCGGTCCTGAACAACGGTCTCGGAGAACCATTCACCATTCCCAGTGCAGTCTGCATGCACGAGGAAGACTACGGCATCTTGTGGAAGCACACGGACTGGCGTACCAACCAGACCGAGGTGCGCCGTTCCAGGCGCCTGGTGGTGTCCAGCATCGCGACCGTCGGCAATTATGAGTATGGGTTCTTCTGGTACTTCTACCAGGACGGCACCATCCAAATGGAGATCAAGCTCACCGGGATAATCAACACAGCCGCTGTCCCCGAGGGTGAAAAGCCCAAATACGGTACGCTGGTGGCTCCGCAGCTCAACGCCCACATACACCAGCACTTTTTCAACTTCCGGCTCGATATGGACGTGGACGGAGGAAGTAATTCGGCCTTTGAGGTCAACACGGTGGCCGAACCCCTGGGCCAGGACAACCCTCACGGAAACGCCTTCTATGCCCAGGCAACCCCGTTGCGGACCGAACACGAGGCCCAGCGGGTGGTTGACCCCATGAGCGGGCGCTACTGGATCATTTCCAATCCCTCAGTCACGAACGCCCTCGGAAACCCGGGGTGGCCTACAAGCTGATGCCCGGCGAGAACATCCTTCCCTTTGCGGATCCAAGCGCCAGCATAATGAAGCGCGCCGGGTTCATGCAGAAGCACCTGTGGGTAACCCCGTACGACCGCGACGAGATTGCGGCCACGGGCCCGTATCCTAATCAGCACCCTGGCGGAGCAGGGCTGCCGGAGTACACCAGGAACGACCGAGCGATAGAGGACACGGACTTGGTGGTCTGGTACACCCTAGGCTATCACCACGTACCCCGTCCGGAGGACTGGCCCATCTCTCCAGTGGCCTACTGCGGCTTCAGCCTGAAGCCCGTCGGGTTCTTCGATACAAACCCTGTGCTGGACGTGCCCCCGTCGCATCACGCCAACGGCCACTGCCATACCTGACCGAACGTTTTCAGGACAACGCTCCGGCTCCCGCTTAACCTCTGTCGTTCAGCGTGCTCATATTCTCTTTCGGAGACCCAAGTGGATATCGAGCGGGCGATTTCGTATACTGCTGATGTAAGCACAGCGGATAAACGGCAGATTGTGCCCTCATTTACAAGCAAACAATCGAAAGGAGGACACTGTTATGGGGAAAGACTATAGCATCTGCGTGGGCGCGGTCGGTTTCGGCGGCGGTGTCTGGCACAGCCCGGATGGCGGCGACTCCTGGAACCGGATCAGGGACCCCTTCCCCTTAGGCAGCCAGGTGCGGGGTATGGCCGTCTACCCCGACAACCCCAATCGCATCCTCGCCGGTTCGGACCATGGCATCTACCGCAGCGAGGACAGTGGTGCCACCTGGGAAAAGCTGTGGTCGCCCATGGAAGGAATGCCCATCTGGTCAATAGCGATTGACCCACAGGATACCAATACCATCTTTGTGGGCATCAAGCCCGCCGCCCTCTTCCGATCAAAGGACGGCGGTCAGAGCTGGAGCAAGCTCTCGGTGCAGATGGCCCAGGAATGCCACATCGGGCCGCCCATGGTGACCATGCTGATGGTCGACCCGCAGGACTCCCGCACTGTCTGGGCCGGAGTGGAAGTGGACGGCGTTTACCGCAGCCTCGACGGCGGCGATACCTGGACGCATGTCGAGGGCGGAGTCCATCCCGACATCCACGGCATGGCCATCAGCCCGGGCGAGCCGCGGCGCGTCCTGGCCAGCACGCCCCGTGAGATCTACGCCACCACCGACATGGGAGAAAGCTGGCAGTCCGTAGTCACCACCGACAAGTTCGTCCTGCCCTACAGTCGGGGCGTCGCATTCAAGTCCGATGACCCCAACGTCATCTTCTCCGCCGTTGGAGATACGGCCATCGGCAGCATCGGCGCAATTCAGCGCTCCCAGGACGGCGGCGCGACCTGGGAGACGCGGCCCCTGCCCGTCGAGCCCAACTCCAACATCTGGAAACATCGTCACCCACGCCGCAGACCCCGATTTCGTCCTCGCCTCCAGCTTGCTGGGAGAGGTCTACAGCAGCAGCGACGCCGGTGATTCATGGCAGAAGCTGAAGCGGGAGTTCAGCGAGGTCGGTGCCATGGTCTGGGTTCCCAACTAGATATAGCACTGGTCCCCGCGGGCATTTCACCCTCCCACAAGGAAGGGTTGACGACCGAAGCCGGTCTGGGCGGAACAATCAGCCCAGACCGGCAACTTTTCACCCTCGAAAGTCCTGCTCTCCATGGCCTTGGGCAATCATTGCCCCGACTCTGGTTGCCTGGGCGCTATTCTTGCGAGAGAGACACATCCACCGCGGCAAGGCCCTCGATGGCCAGGCCGTAACCCAGCATGTCCTGCATCTGCCGCTTCATCTGCAGCGTCAGCGCCACACGACTGTAGCGCAGGGTGAGCGGCGGGCGCTCAGCCAGTTGCCGTGCCAGTTCCCATGCCCGTGGCAGCAACTGGTCCCTTGGCATCACTTCGGCCACCACGCCAAGGTTCAGTGCCTCTTGGGCCGAGAGCGTCTGCCCGGTTAGCAGGAAGTACCGTCCCCGGTTCTGCCCCAGCACCAGGGGCCAGATGACATGGACTCCGTCGCCCGGCACCACACCACGCGGGAAGTGGGGACCGTCCTGGAACGTGGCGGTATCCGACGCCAGGACGATGTCGGACATCACCGGGATCTCGGCGTGAATCGTCGCCGGGCCGTTGACCGCCCCGATCACCGGCACCTCGATCTCGAGCAGATTCGTCAGGAGCCGCTTGCCCTCCCAGTACGTCTTGTCCCAGTCCTTGGGCATTCGCCGGGTTGGGCGATTGGGCTCGAAATTGGCGCAGTAGTCGTCTCCGGTTCCGGTGAGGATGACCACCTTGTTCTCCGGGTCCGCCCCGATGTCGGCAAAGGCATATCCCAGCTCACGGTGAGCCGCCTCGCCCCAGAGCAGGCTGCCGTCCCCCGAGTGGAAGGTTACCTGCAGAATCCCATCCTCCCGTTGCACACTGACCGTTTCGTACTTGTTCGCATAGTCCGCTAGCACCGTCATTGCTGTCCTCCTCAGGTCTTGGCTTGTGGCAGGCCGCGGGCAGCCTCGCCCGATCCCCACTTTACACCAGCCGTTCCTTCTGGCAATGACCGGAGGGTCCCTTGAGTCAGGGGCCCTCCGGGGCAAGCGTACCGGGTTGTGGCTTCAACGATATGTTGATATGCGTCAGGCGTAGAGGCGGTTAAGGTTGGCGTACCTTCCCGAGTCGAGGTCCTTGCCCGTTAGAGCGGGATGGTCGTAGCTGTAGCGATGAGCGCGGAATACTGAGTTGGCCACGCCCGAGACGGAGCCGCCGACGCCGTAGCCGCTTCGCGCCATGAACGGGTTGATATATTCCCAAACTACTTCCTTGCCCGGTGTAACCTCGAATATGCGGCCAGGGGCTCCCTCGCAGATCAGGGTGTTGCCGTTTGGCTGGCGTTCGGCGCCGCTGATGTGGTAGCTGTAGAAGGAAATGGGCGGGTCTCCGCGGTATTCCCAGGCAATTTCGTTGGTTCCGGGGTCGACCTCGATGACGCGGGAGTGGGTGAAGCCGCTCTTGTGGGGACCGTTGTCAAAAATCAGCACGCGGCCGTTGCCGAGCATAGTGGGGTTGTGCTGGTGTGAGATGTTGCCGGGTCCCCACTTCCAGCGAAAGTTGCCACTGGCCCGGTCGACGATGCCCACGGTGTCGGTCTGGCGGAAGCTGACCACCAGGTCGCCTTCGGGAGTGACATTTAGGGTATTCTGATGCGTCCACTCGGCACGGCCCTCGAGAAAGCAGATCCGGTCATCCTCGACATCCAGGTATTCCCAGGAATTCCACTCGTAGACTACCTCGCCCGCGGGGGTGATCTCACGCACGGTGTCGCCCAGCATGCCAGCGCCGCCATGGCCCGACTCGTGGCCGCCCTTAACCTGCCTCGTCAGTTCATCGGGCATCAGTTCCCATGTCAGCACCAGCGTGTTGCCGTTCGGCAGCCGCTCGAAGTCGTGGTGCAGGAGCGGGTAGCGGTAATCCCATACCACGTTGCTGTCCCAGTCCAACTCCAGTATCGCTCCGGCCACCGTCCTGCCGCCGATTGGCAGCAGTGCACTCTCGGGGCGGCTCTGGAACGACACTTCTTCCGCTGCCGGGCCGGTCCGGAGCAGCAGGTTGCCGTTGCGCAGCAGGTAGGCGTAACCGATGCCTTCGTCGGAGTGCCAGGCGTGGCAGACGCGGCCCTCCATGTCGATGAGGCGCGAGTCGTGTCCGCTCACGTTGGTCACCAGCGTGTAGCCCCGGTAGGCGCCCGGCGGTGAGTAATGAATCAGACCGTTCGGATGGTGGTTGGACCAGCCCATGGCTGCCTCCTGAGTATCGCTAATGATCCTGTCGCGGGTCAACCGGGTCTACTGCAAGATGGCCTTCGGTTTTGAGAACCGCACTTGCGTTCCAGATTGCGCCATTTTCGTGGCCAACGGTAATGATACACGGTGGTAAACTGGCGTCCACAATATTTGCCTGTACCGAATCCATTAGTTGCGTTCCAGAAACGCCGGAGGAGGCTTCATGTCAACTCAAGCCCAGGAAATCAAAAACATGAAGCTCATTGCCCATGTGGAACTGAACGGACACAACAACATAGGCGAGGGAGTGGACCTACACCAGACGGCCAGTGGGCGGCGCATCCTCTACCTGGCCCACGAGAGCGCACCCAAGGACTTCACCAGCGTCGACGTCTCTGACCTGGCCAACCCCAGGGTGGCGGCCCAGACCGACCTGGACTACAGCCACCTGCGATCCAACTCCCTGTCCATCGTCGGCGACACCATGCTGGTGGCCTACCAGTCGCGGGAGCATGGCCAGCCGGGCACCGGAATGGGAGTCTTCGACATCAGCAACCCCGACGCCCCAACGCGCATCGCATTCTACGATGCCCAGGGGGCAGGATCGCGTGGCTGCCACTGCCTGTGGTGGGTCGACGGCAACTATGCCCACCTCGCTACCTGCACTCCAGATTCCCGTCCCACCGATCCTAAAGACGACCAGTTCTACGTGATCCTGGATGTGAGCGACCCCGCAAATCCGAGCGAAGCGGGCCGTTGGTGGCTGCCTGGCACCCAGGAGGGCGACGACGCCCCTCCGCCGGCACGGCATCCCCAGTTCGACGTGGGCCACAGCGTGCACAACACCAACGTCTACCCCAACCGTCCCGACCGGGCCTACTGCGGCTGGAAAGACTCCGGCGTCATCACGCTGGACATATCCGACGTGTCCCGCCCATCGCCGGTTGCCCAGCTGAACTACGCGCCCCCGTTCCCGGGCTTCACGCATACGGTGCTGCCTCTGTTCAGCCGGGACCTGCTGGTGGTGACGCAGGAGGCCACTATGTTGGGCGGCGCCGACTACCCCAAGCTGGTTTGGCTGATGGACAACCGGCTGGAGAGCAACACGGTTATCATCAGCACGCTCCCCATGCAGGACACCGACGACTTCTTCAACCGCCCCGGACGGTACGGGGCGCACAACATTCACGAGAACCGGCCGGGGGAGCTGTCACTGCGCTCTGACACGCTGGTCTACGCCACCTTCTTCAACGGTGGCATCCGGGTGTTCGATACCACCAATCCCTTCCAACCTCAGGAGGTCGCCTACTTCGTGCCCCAGATACCCGAAGGCGCCGACGCCAACGGCATCAACGACGTCCACGTCGACGAGAACGGCATCGTCTACGTGGTCGATCGGCTGCGTGGCGGCCTCTACATCCTGGAACTGAACATCTAGCCCCAACGGCATCGAATACCCGCAGAGGGTGAAATCATGTCAACCAACATAACCAAGGCCGATACGGTCATCAGGAACGCCAACGTCATCACCTTGGACCCGAACTTGCCCCGAGCCCAGGCCGTGGCCATGAGCAACGGCCGCTTCATTGGCCTTGGCAGCAACGAAGACGTTGAGACCTTCATCGGCCCGAACGTGAAGGTGATGGACCTTACAGGCAGCACCGTGCTGCCTGGGTTCATCGACGCCCACATCCACGTGCTGAACAGTGGCATCCGCCACGTAATGGCCGCCGACTGCGACCTGCCCTCCATCGCGGCCATACAGACGGCGCTGCGGGAACGGGTGGAGACCACGGCGCCGGGACAATGGGTGCAGGGCTTCAAGTACGACGACACCAAGACGGCCGAGAACCGCTCCATTTTCCGGGAGGAGTTGGACGCCGTCAGCACCTTCCATCCCATCATGGTGTCGCACCGGGCGGGACACATCTATTACCTGAACAGCATGGCCCTGGAGCTTGCGGGGTTCGATCGCGACACACCTGACCCCTTCGGCGGCCGCATTGGGCGCGACCCTGACTCTGGGGAGTTGAACGGCATTGTCTACGAGCGAGCCATCGAGCGCGTCCGGTTCGAACTCATCCCCTCGGACACGCCGGAGATCCGCCGTGAAGGGCTGCGCACCATCTGCCGGATGCTGACTCAGGCCGGTCTCACCAGCGTCCACGACGCCCGGGTCGTCCGGGACGAGTTCGTAACCTACCAGGAGGGCAGGGACGCCGGAGACCTGTCCCTGCGCGTCTACGCGCTGATGTACCATCCCCATTTTCGGTCCTTGCAGGAGGCGTGGTTGAAGACCGGCTTCGGCGACGACATGCTGCGGCTGGGAGGCATCAAGATGGTCGCCGACGGGGCCATCGCCGCCCGCACCGCCTACCTGTCGGAGCCCTACGTCGGCAGCGATTGCGACCACGGCATCCTTGCAATGAGCGCCGAGGAAATCGAAGAGAACGTGATGGAGATGCACCGGGCCGGGTTCCAGGTGTGCATCCACGCCAACGGCGACCTCGCTATCGACATGGTGCTGAACGCCTATGAGAAGGCCCAGGCCGCCGACCCGCGTCCCAATCCCCGTCACCGGATCGAACACTGTACCCTGGTGAACCCGGACATTCTCACCAAGATGCACCGGTTGGGCACCATCGCCACGCCCTTCTGCACCTACGTCTACCATCACGGGGAGAAGATGCCCTTCTACGGCGAGGAGCGTCTTCAGTGGATGTTCGCCCAGCGCTCCTTCCTGGATTACGGCGTGGTGGGCACCGGCGCAACCGACTACCCGCCCGGACCCTTCGAGCCGCTGCTGGGCATCCAGAGCTGCGTCACCCGAACCGACAGCCGAGGACAATAATGGCGACAAAAAAGGAATGCGTGCTGTGTGTGTGTGTGGTGTCTCTTTGTGTGGGGCCCCGGGTAGGTGACGGTCGATGAAAGACGTGACGCATCATACCACCAAGCACAGCGCCTACGCCTCTTTCGAAGAGGACACCAAGGGCTCCATCGAGGTTGGAAAGCTGGCCGACCTGGTCGTGCTGGGTGCCGATCCCACCCAGGTTGACCCGATGACCATCAAGGACATCACGGTAGAGCGGACGATAGTCGGTGGCAATACGGCGTACGAGGCCTAGTCAGCCGGCGATCCCAGCAACCCCAGCCCAAGAAAAAAGGGAGCCAGCGATGGCTCCCTCTTATATTCGAGACCAAACAACAATCAGGGAATAGCGCCCTCTTTCCGGAACACCTCCGCCAGCTTTTCGACCCCCTCCCATATCTCGGCCGGTCCGACGAACTGTGGCAAGCACAGCCGGAAAATGTAGCTCGGCGCCGCGTCGGGGGTCGCGGACCAGCAAGTCCGGGCCCCGGATTGAACGCAACGCCCTCCCTGAGTGCCGGCGCATTCAATGCCCGGGAGTCGACTCCGTCCGGAAGCTTGACCCACAGGTACATCCCGCCCCTGGGCACGTAGAAATCCACCGTCGGGCCGAACGACTCGCGCAGCGCGCTGGCGAGGACGTCGCACTTGCGCTTCAAGGTGGCGCGCATTTCCAGGATATGGTCCTCGTAGTGATGGTTGAAATAGTCGGCCACGATCATCTGGTCCATCACGCCCGTGCCCGCGTCGTTCTTGCGGGACAGCAACCGGCTCATCACGTCCCATTTCGCCACGATGTACCCCAGCCGGGTACCCGGGCCCAGGCTCTTTGAGAAAGATCCGATGTGGAGCACCCGGTTGGAGTCGTCCAGGGACCGGATCGCGTTCTCATACTCACCCTCGAATATGAGGTCGGCGTAGCATTCATCCTCGAATATCGGTACCCCGTATTCCTCGCTCAGTTCCAGCATCCGCCACCGCCGCTTCATGGACATCACGGTGCCTGTGGGGTTCTGCAGGGTCGGGATCGTGTAAATGTACTTGGGGCGCACTCCCTTGGATCGCAGGTCCTCAAGCACCCGGGCCAGTTGGTCCATGTTC